TATAGTGTTAATTGGCAATAAATTGAAAATAAAACGCAATTATTAATTTCAAGTTTCTGAATGTAAAGATTACCGTACGTATTGCCACTTCAAATCTTCCTTACAGCAACTAATAATAGAATGTCTAATTTCTGTACACGTCTGTATAAATTTTGATTTAAAATGCGATGTAATTTCATATGCATTGAAAAGAAAATACTTGTTCGATTTGCACTGGAATATAATACAAACGATTTGCTTTCAGTACTGATTCATATATTCATACGGACGGAAATTTCAATCAAGATATCACACACATAAACAGGATCAGGTTTCTGTTCGGAATCGCAGTTACCGTTATCCTGCCGACAATGTGTTAATTCAGGAGCAGAATGGTTGAAATAATGGCCATTGCACTGCACGTAGTCAATGTATAAAGCACGGAGCACTGACCAAATATATAATTAGCCCCCTCTTCGAACTAATCTAGACAATTAGAATCATGGCGTGTATCGCGGATCGCTGATGATCATTGGCTCAATAGAAATTCGAACTGCATTATTTGAATTGAAAACTACGTTCTTGAGTGTCTGCTTGGATCACCTAATCACTGTTCACTGTTATGCAGGTAATACAGAAATTGGCTTAAAATAATCTCTGTATACAAGGAGGAATAACTATTTTACAATAGTATTCCTTTCTGCGTACAGAGAATGTATAATTTATCTAAACTTTCGTTGCGTATATTTGCAACGTAGACCAAGATTTTAAATATACTTCGCATACGTGTTCCTTGTAAGCGTAAAAATACTTTTTAAGATGGGCATACAATGTAGAAAACGTGATATCGTAGATATACAAATATTACTTTTCGTAGCTACTGATCCATACTAAACAGTAAACTTGGAAGTCAAGGCAGATAAAATATTCAATTTTATTTCAATTGGCATTTGAGACCACAATTCACTTGCTAATCTAATCGTACCTGTTTCAAACTTGTTATAATTTTGATAACTTTACGGTGAGCAGAGAAAAATTCCGCGTCTCTTATTTCAGAGAAAATATCCATTTTAACCACATTGAATGCAATTTATTGAAGGTTTTGTGTGACATCTGCAGGTAAGGACAGAATAAAGGACTATTTTTCTCCAAACGAATTATAAAAATTATTTAATATGGATTCAAAAGAGATTTTTTTCGTGGCGTTATGCGATAACTCAAAAACGAGTAGCCTCAGAACGTTGAAATTTTGTATATAGGTCTGCTATAACATGTAGTTGTGCATCTCCCTTTTTTGTTGCAATCGGCCACATCAAAAGCACATAAATATATCTCGGATCCGTGAGCTTAGTTTTTTTTTTTTTTCTATTCTTATATATCTTTAAATTACGCATTTTTTGCTTTAAAATGATTGAATTACGTTGGTCTTATTTTCCGGTTAAGGGGTTTATGCCTTTAGTTAATCTGCATGCAATAGCTGTAAAATTATTAACAATTTAAAAGTTGTTTAAGTGCGACTAAGCCTAATTTTTTACCATAGCTGCCTGTTTTTCTGCATTTTTCAGTTTTTAATGAAGATATTTTGAGTTGAGTTTTATATATTTCTGTTGCCGAGGAGTGAGAACTGAATTAATTGAACGAGAAATATATCTTTAATAAAATTAGAGGAAATACGTTTAAGAGAAATGCAGGAAAAGAGACACATAATTTAATATTCCGTACGAGGATGTCATGTGGCGCACACATCAGTTTAATTTTTATCTTGTTTGAGCTCTTCCTCAGCCAGATTGCTTTCTTTATGTTTTCACAACTAAAATAGAAGCCAAAATACTGTTCCATTTATACTTGGACTTCGATAAGTGACATAATGTTTACAACAGCAGTTTAAAAAAAAAACAGTCTGTAATTACAAAAGAAACGCATTCCACGTTAATTCATACAAAAGGCGTGAAATGTACATTCCTTTCAGATAATACTCGAATTTCCTTTCCTTTGAAGCCCTAATCGAACACAGTATTTCCGAAATTCGTTAGGAACTCACTTATCAGCGAAATACTATAAATTGGGTAATTACGCTAAATTTCACTCTCTTTAATTTAGATGTCACATTTTAAAACTCTAATGGGTGAAATTATTTTCTTTGTGCCAGTGAATTATTCGTACGGTTTCCTTCATTTCCCTTTCTTACGGTATCTAAAGTTACATTTTTTTGTCCTCTCTCCTCTTTTTTAATTTAAATTGTTTTAATAATAATGCTCCTTCAAGATTTTCCTAACGCAAAGCTGACTTACATATTGAGTGTAACACGAGGATGAATTCAAGATTTTATTCATTACATCTTCTTGAAAGCACTTAAGGGAATTCTCTTTTTACCGAATGCTTTTATTAAAAAGGTATTTTAATCGTTTCGAATGTTTTCTTTTATTCCAAGACATTAAGAATAATCATAAACCTTATGTTTCTAATGAGCTGCATTAGAAAATCTAAGCGGCAGAATAAAATGGCTGCCTGGTACCAGAACAGGTGAAAAACACTTCAGTGAAAAATAACATATTACATAAATGTTTTAAATTTGCTTATCGAGATCATTTGGATTCGAAAAGAAAATGAGGTATTTATGACTCTTCCGCTTTATGAACTTATTTTCGCAATAATTATCCAATTCTTGGTTAAAGAAAATTAAAGCAAAGAATTCAAGTGTATGACTGCTATTGAGAAAAAAAAAAAATCTCAAACGTTTTCTTAATTTAAAAGCATTCAAATTACAGTTTCTGAGTCGAGAATTGTAATGGGAAGCATAAAACATTGTACAACTATTAGCTGAATGAAACAAGTAATTGACTGAGAAGGCCGCTTATGAATAATCGCTACTTCATAAGCCTAATTGCGAAACATTTGGAAACTAATATACCATAACGTATATTGAGCAGTTTTTTCCTCTCTTTTCCAGATGCATAACTTTGCGAATGCGGTTTCTCAGGTAACGATACAGAGATATTTTTAGCAAACAGGCTGCATTAAGTTTCATAGAAATGTTTTGTTTAATCTGAGTTTGCCATAATTTCCTTTTGGTTATTTTGAACATATATTTATTGTTATTTATTAGTCTGTCGTGCGCAGCTTTTAGTAATTTTATGATTAATATCTAAATTAGGTACGCAAGTTTTATTTATCTTGTTTTTTTTTAATTTAAGATATTCGCCTATGTTTTAAATTCATTTTACTGCTGTCCGATTAATTCTCAGATTACTTGGAAATGTGTGAAGTAGTTATACATACAATTTGCCCAGAACGGCTATTAATTTCGTTTCGACATTTTGAGTCGGTTCACCATAAACGGCGTTTCACTTTCTAAATTGTTGCCACCAAATATTAGAGCCCTGCACTATATTTGGATACCATCTGACACAGTCTCCGCCCTGGGGGTTAACCGTATGGATTAGATGAAAACTCACTAAAAGATTCTAGGATTATGATGTGCCAACATAGTCATATGAGTTCTATGCATTCGACAGTACATAGCATTGAAATTGGTTCACAATGAGATCACTTGATATTAATTGAAGACTTGAACACATACACCATCTTTAGCAATCGTGATAAATATAAAATGATCAACAGCAAGAGTATAAACAATATAAAATTGCAGTTAGTAAATTTGTCTGTGCTACCAAAGTAATAACAAGATTAGAATTTTTTAATAATAGTAATAAGAAGAATTAAGGAATTAATATTATTATACGAAAAAAGAACATTTTACCGCTGTTTTAATGAAGACTTTTTTTTTAATTTCAGTGTAACTTTTGACTGGTTCGAGTAGCTGAAATGCAAATTTCTAAAATGTCAAATATTGAATTGATGCATCTGTAGCAAAATGTTTCTTATTTCGGGTTTTAATCGACAATTTGCTAATGATTTACTGAAGGTAAATTTTGCGCACAGACTAAAATTTGCGTGCCAATGTTTTATTACGACTAATACAGTGAAGCTGTTCCTTAGATCATTTCTTTTAGCAGATCAAGCTTGAAAGTGACAAATATTTCAAGAGATATAAGTTAGTTTCTGCAATGAACGTCACTAACACTTGCATATCTTCCCCACTGAACAAACTAAAAAAAAAAAAAAAAAAAAAAAAAAAAAAAAAACCACCACCTGCAAAAATAAATAATTATCTTAGAGAATTTTATCTTACTAAATTATAAATTACAACAAAATGCAGATACGGAAACGTATAAAGAGGTTATAACATATATAAGCAATGTGAAGCAGCTACTAATTAACCACATTAGTTTTGATAATAAAATGTCGTGTTTTATTTACAATAAGAAAAACTGTAGGGTTTTACGTCATTTTTCTAACAGTTCATTTTTAGTTGGAAATACCTTTCCTTTACTTCCTTATTTTTTAGTTACGTTTTCCTGACAGAATGAGTTTTCAATTTTACAGTTAATGCAAAATAGGATAGAAATTGCTTTTTAAGCTAAGGTCTGAGCTACTTCAGTTGGAGCGTGTTCTGCTTTTCGGCCAAGTTGTTGTTACTAGTTAAAATTTGTTAGTTTACGGCGGTGCTTATTGCGGGCATCTTAGTCTATGCCTGTGATTTTAGCTAACACCTAACTAAGTGTTAACAACTGTGTGCAGCTTTGGCTGAACCTTCTACTTAGCATTAGTTTATGTTTTCTGTTTTTAAGTTCAAGCCATTAAGTGCTGGCTTCCTGTGTGTCCAAGTGAAATATATTTGAGTTAAAAATTAAAAGATATTTTAACCTTTTTTCCGAGTTGTTACTTACAAAACAGAACTTACCGAATAGTCAATTCACAGTTCTACTAGATTCTAGCGTTCCAATAACTTTAATTTATACAGAATATTAAAAGTAAATGTGTATATCTAACGAATATCCACAATTCAACTCCATTTTAATGATGTTTAAGAAACAATCACTTTGAATTTAATTGAACTTAAAATGCTTTATTATGTTTACCCGTGATTTTTATAAAATTGTAACCTTTCCTATTTACAGTACCACCTGGAGAACCAGTCATCTTGGACGAAGAAGGTGTTCAAGTGAAAGGCTTGATAGGACCATACAATGAAGGAGATTCTCTACTTTTAATCTGCGAGGCTATTGGAGGTAATTACCTTTCATATTTACACTGATGGTTGTTATTTGTTCAGACAAGAACAAAACTTTTAATTTCTAAAATGGAAAATTCGGATATTTATAAAAATTGTTCGGGATCTACCTTATTTGACAGTATATCCTTAGTTTAATAACTTTCAACCAATGTTATCCAACATAATTCAATGGACCAAACAAATTGTACAATTAAAAAGAGACTATTATTTTAATGCTATGTTACTTTACATATGTAGTAAAAGAATTTTATTTTCCATAAAAGATAGTTAAATTTGTTACATGAAAGTAAGGAAAACAAGATTAAACTCTTTACCTTAGATTCCACTAATGTGGAAACAAGTCCAATTTGGCAGCAACTGTGGAACACCCTACCGCGCGACAATGCAGCATCATGATTTGGGGCGCAATTGCGAATTTCATTTTACCTCTAGTTCGTATTCAGGGCATTATGACCACCCAATGCTACGTGGATGATGTGTTGCGACCCGTGACACTCCCCTACCTTCATGTAATGCCCATTGCCCTTTATAAGCAGGCTAACACCCGATCACACATTGCTTGCATCAGCCAAAGCGCTTTGCAAGGTGTTTAGATGCTTACCTGGTCACCGTTCTCTCCTGGTCTCTCACCAATCAAACTCATTTGAAATGTGATTGGGCGCCATTTGCAGACATTGCCGCGTTCAGAAGATGAACCGTGACAAATAGTTGACAGGGGATGAAGAGCAATTCCTCAGAACACCATCGTAGTTTCGCTGTGTATCTAGACGTGTTGCTTCGTGTATCGCCGTTCAAGGTGGTCTTACAGCCTACTCAGCCGACGTTGTTCTCGCTCTGTATTACGCATATAATTTCGAAATAAAGATCACTTATTGCTCGTTGCTGTCACTCTGTTTGTCGAGTTTCATCACTTTCTGGCTACTCATTCTTGCTGTTGCATTGTCAAAGTCGGTTAGTGTACTAGGCTTCAAAATCTAAGAATCTTAGCCAAATTGTACAAATGAGGAAGACAGTGTCTTTCTAAAGCAAATAAACTGAGCAGGCTTCGATACCAAATAGTTTAGTGCTTTAGATAACCCATCTACAATAGTTCTTTAGCTGCTTTTACGTCTTACTGCTCTTATTATTTCATATACTGATATGTGGTGATACCGGATTTTCTGACTTTGAAAGAATGTAAATTGGTGACATGTTGATTTGAATATGTAAGAAAAAATGTATTAATTACTAAGCTAATTAATAAATTTTTTCTTACATATTCAACATTACTTCTGTGCTCTCGTTTCTGAGCTTAACTAGAAGCTTAAACTAAGAATGCAGACAAGAGCTAAAAGTTAACTGAAATACTTATTACAATAACCAAAAATACCAAAAACGAAAAATAACAAAAACATCAATATTTAAAGATGTGAAACGCAATAAGTAACTTCAATATTTAATCAACTTGGTTCTGATCACCCTCGAATTATAACTCTAAGCACTAACAAATACAGGAAATCACTTCCCTAAAAGAGATCGGAATACAGGTGGACGGTTAGCGAAATAAATTGCTTTTGGATGTATTCGCTAAATTACATATGTGCTAGTTATTTAAATTCAAACCTAATATGAGTTATAAAGGCTAATAGAAGAAGTAACAGTTGTAGGAAAGAATTTATATAAAAGTAAAGTGTTAGATAAAATAAACGTTATCGGTACGAATCAGATCAGTCGCATGTATCAATCTGAACAGATGGAATCCTGTTTGGGGTATATACTTGGATCATATGTGTTTGAGACTTAGCTTTTAGTCCAAAGAGATTTTGAGTCCCGAAAGACAGTTACTTGTGTTTTGGCATTTTGTGTCGGACTCCTATAAATGTCGGTTCACTTTTCAAATTGTTGCCACAAAATGTTAGATTCCTGCATTATAGTTGAAGAAATTAAATAATGAAGAATCTGCATAAATATATGTATGTTTCTCGCATTGTAATAAAACAACGGTACCTAGAGCCATCCAATTTTGAATAACGTAATCCTACTGCGAATATGGGCATCTGAAAGCCCAAATTTGAAATTTGGAATTTGTTTAATGATCAATTTCAGATTTTGTAAAACATTAACGAATTTTTGAGTAACAAATTCAACGATTTAAAATCGAGCAATGGCAACACTCTACGAGGGGGAGGGAAACCTTTTTATCTCCAGTGCGCGGAACTGTGTATCGGAAATTCTAAAGATAGGCTCATTTTAAAATTATTTTGCGACACTGCTGTTGAACTAAATTTTATGGTTTAAGTGCAAAGAACATGAAATTTAATAAATAAAAGTAACACACAAAACGTTAAAAAAACGCTGCTTTGGACGTAATTTAAAATCTGAAACATTTCAGATTTTTTTTTTCAATTTTAAAATGTTTGAAATTTTCATGCAGTGTTTTAAAAAAAATTTATTAGTGCTTCTCAAGACACTATTCTATACTAGCCGCTTCGCGGCCAGCCTTCGTCTGGCTTTTAAATATACCAGAAAAATGCCTGAAGGGGACAAACACCCTATATTAAGTTTAAAAACTGCACAGAATGTTTCTCTGCAGAACAATTTTATCAAAAAAAATTTCAATAAAAGTGTATTACATATAAATAAATACGGTTAATATTCCATAATCAGGGTGAGCGCCAAACTTTGGAGAGTTTTTATTTGGCGCGATTTTTAATTTGGTTGTGTTTTAAGGCAGTTTGTTTTCTTTTGGCAAACCTAGAGCTTTATTTCGGTAACTGTTAGTGTAGTGTAACCGGAAGATTTTGTTTAACTTAATTTTGAAATACTGTGTTTGTTTTTAAAAGTTTTGCTTTGAATATTATTATTATTATTACATATGTTTAATATTATATGTACATAAATATTTGCACAAGGTTAAGCTGTTCTTGGTGGGAGAATGTTGGATTTCAGATGACGTGAAGTTATGTATGTTTTCATTTAATTTTATTTAGTCAATTATATTTTTTTTAGTCCAAAGAAGCTTTGTCCCTGAAGACTATTGTATTTTCGTTTTGCGATTTTGCGTTGAATCACTGTAAATGTCCGTTTCACTTTTCAAACTGTTGCCACCAACTGTTAGAGTCCTGCATTATATTTGAAGAAATTAAATAATGAAAAATCTGCATAAATGTATGTCTATTTCTCGCATTGTGATAAAACAACGGTACATAGAGCCATCGAATTTTGAATGACGTAATCCTCCTACGAATATGGGCATGGGGAAGAACAAATTTGAAATTTAGAATTTGTTTTATGAGATCGATTTCATATTTTGTAAAACTTTAACGAATTTTTGACTGACAAACTGAAGGATTTCAAAGCGAGCAATGGCAACACTCTACAGGGAAAAAAATTATCACCAGTGCGCGGAACTGTGTATCGGAAATTCTAAAGATATGCTCATTTTATAATTATTTTGAGATATTTCTATTGAACTGAATTATATGATTTAAGTGCAAAGAACATGATATTTAATAAATAAAGGTAACACACAAAGCGTTAAAAAACGCCCCTATGGACGTAATTTAAAAGCTGAAAAATTTCAGGTTTTTTATTTATTAAATTTTATTTTTTAAAATCTAAAGTTACACACGTAACACAAGCATAATTTTCAAATAAGCGTTTGAACAAAGAGATGAAAAATGCAACATTAAAACCAATATATTAAATACTTAAACATATCGTGAAAAAATGTAATAATATTTTGCTAATGAAGTTAGGGAAAAACGTATTGCAATTAACATTCATGTTTTCGTCCTAACATTCATGTTTTCGTCAGCTAAATCAAACAATTAAAAATGCATTACTATTAACATTTATTTCGTTTTCTGATAATGAATTACCTAACAAATTGCTTAAATTAACCCAAACGAGAGGAAATATGAATCATTTTCTCTTATTTTAAAAATCGAGTAAACACATTATAAAAGGAAATAAATTGTAAACTGAATTTTTTAAGCAAATAGCACAATTTGTTACAGTTTTTAGTCAAAAGCCGAATCAATAACACACGCTCTGAAGTTGTACAGTCAATCGCGTGGACTGAAAACACACAACAATATTTAACAAGAAAAAGCAGAAGTAAACGAAAAAAAAAAAAAAAAAAAAACAGGTCGTCCGTCTCACAGAGAATTAAAAAAATGACAATTTTTTTCCATGTACATTTAGAGATTACTGTTTTTTTCCACCACCATTTATGTGAGCCAAAAAATTGCAGCAGAGGGAATTTAAAATCTGAAACCTGCAGATTTTTTTTTTTTTTTTTTTTAGTTTTGTTTCTTTCATGTGGCAATCGAAAGATACTGTTTAGTGTATTGAATTCCACGACGTTGTTTTATCATTTAATCAATTTCAATTACTTTTCTGTTTACACATAATAATCGCTGTTCACTACTGTAAACAAAAATTTGCTATTCTGTTTACGTTTAAAACTCAATTCGCAGTGCTCTGATCTGACACGTGTATATATTTATTGCTCAATATTATATATTTAGGAGAATTGTTCATTCTACTATTTTGTGACGAATTACATGGAACCATATGTTTTTACTTGCAAAGCTGTTGGAATTTGTTTTACTCATCTAGTATTTTATCACCGCAATTTGCTGTTCTTCTTACAAAAAATAACGGCATTTTACTACTGCAAAACTTAAAAGTTACTATTATGTTTACGTTTAAAAATCCCATCTTAGTGCAGGGCCCACCAGCGGCCGAGCGGTAAAGTCGCTGAACGCTGGTAGTTCGGTCCGAGGTTAGAATCCCGCGAACGGGCTGGCTGCATGGGCGTTTTCGGGGTTTTCCCCATGTGTAACCTGCATACGAGCCAGTTTCGCTTAGAAAGTCCTCCCCTTAGGCATCCCTACCCTTAGGCAGATACTCCTAGTGGGATTTGCCATAATTAAATACACCACACCCATCTTAGTGCTTTCATTGCCACCAAAAATTTCGCTAAATTTTGAAAAACAAAGTAGTTTGGCG